GTGGTGGTGCTGCTGCTGCTGCTGCTGCTGCTGCTGCGTGCAGTCACAATCCGTGCTGGCCTTTTTTTTCTTTTTCTCTTTGTCTAGCCAGCGAAAAATCGTTTATTTCCTCGGTCAAAGGCACACCTTGGTTTCCACCAAAAGAGATCTTGTAGACCGACAACGTTCTGTATCATTGATTTTCATGTGTTTCGGAAGGCGGATTTAGTTTTCGGTGAACCCTCCACACGAATGGGGGCCGATGTTAGTGTTTACCGAGGGAGTTATGGAGGGAGGTAGGTCCTGTTTGCACATCCGTCCACCCGGTGGGATGAATATGCTAAGAAAAAACACATGTTGTATGTTGGTTCTCCTACCAGTTCGAAAACTTGGTTCAAGTTGTTGCCCGCATCGGTATCTTTTCCTACCGTCCTCGCCCGTGTGTGTTTGTTGTTGTTGTCGTTATCTTTGCGATATTGTTGTTGTTCGTGGTGGTTTTGGTTGCTGCTGCTGGTGACAGGGGTCGTGGATGCGCCGCTGCTCTTAAGGGCTTGACCCTCACACCAACATGAGAGTTTGTTCCTCACTGGTCTTCCCATTCGTCACCCCGAATACTCTCACCCTAGTGGTGGTGTGAGTGGGCGCTTTGCTATAGTCTTTTGTTGCTACTGTGTGTCCTCACTGCTGCTGTGATTATTGTGTTTTTGATGCAGATTCTGGTGAAGAGGGACGGGTCGTCGGCGGTGGACAAGGGCATGGCCGACCCGGCCTTCTGGGCTGTGATGCTCGTCAAGCCCATGCTGTACGGAATCATGATCCCCATCCTTTACGGCCTGTGCAAGAAACTCGGTGGGTATCGTTTGTTGCAAAATACAGACAACACGCATACAACGCACATTCATGCGTAGATCTGTGAATAGGTGCAAGGTGCATACAAAGCGAGTCAGAGACGGTGTGTGGTCGTCACACGTCTTCCGAACCGCGTACCCCCCAAAGGCCCTTCAACGAAGATTCCACGTCACGCGTTGGACGTCGAACAACAACAATATACTTCTTCGTTTCACAAGAACATCGATCCCCTTATCTCCACTTGTCTTGAGACCTTGTCATCACTTATATCTTAAAAACCTTATCCACATTTGTCTTAAAAACCCGATCCCCAATTGTTTTCTTTTGTTTTCTCGGCGATTTGGACGCAACAATCTAACAGGTGTATTCCTGAACAATCTGGAGAACCACAAGACGGAGAATAAGTACCGCAACGCCCTCATCGTCAAGGTAACTATGATTGAGTCACCTGCAGGCCTTTTTCGCTGAGTCAATTAAGAGTCATGCCCTTTTTTCTTCCCCAGGCGTGGTGTTTTTCCTACCTGATTGCGATAGTCATGAGACGGGGGTCTCCAGGCTCGCACTGCTCTGCAGTGGCTCAAGTTCCTTTAGGGATGTGTGGTGGTGTGAACACGCCAGGTTGAACCACTCGCGAGAGAGGTTGAAGGTTGAATAGATGTACGGAACGGGTTGTGTGAGAGAGGGGGCAGCTGATCCGCTCTACTTATTCGCGCGTTCAGCGTGTCCACTTTTGGCCAACACCCGGAAGAAGGTAGATCTATCTCCGACAGGTCATTTGACACGTCACAATCTCCGACATCTCCGACAGGTGGTGACATTCACAAGATTGTGTTTTTTCGTTTTTTTTTTTTTTTTTCAGGTGTTTTCTTTCCGGTTCATGACGGTGTTCGCGTCCCTGTACCACTACGCCTTCATCAGCCGCGAGGGCACTCCCAACTACAAGCTGCTGCGCCTGGCGGCCTCTCTGTGCTCCTTCATGACCATCGGACAGTGGTGGTACATGGTGAGAGAGAAATAGAGATAGTGATGGTGATGGATGGAGGGAGAGGGGGGAGAGGTACAGAGAGAAATAGAGACTGATGGAGGGAGAAGGGAGGGGGGGGTACAGAGAGAGAGAGGTTTATGGAGAGAGGGGGGGGGGGGTACAGAGTGTGTGTGTGAGAGAGAGAGAGTAGCGAAAGGAAGCAACAGTGCTGTGGGACAATAATTGACGGATGAGCGTGGTACCACCCCCGTCCAAGTGATTGATTGCGCCGGGGTGTTTCCTCGCTCACCACTTGAACATACACAAAAGACAGGAGGCATGTTAGTTACCCTTCCCCTATCGCTCGCTCTCATCCACGGTATGCTTGATTCTCTTTGGCCTTGAAATACATGGCATACAGCAGTACGCCCCACCATCTAGTTCTTCCCGAGGCTGGTTGCATGCCGCCTCTTTGGGTTTCCCAACTGCAATTGTATTTGTTTCGAGCACCTGCTCTTGTGGTCAAAGATCTCAGATCTTTCTCTTTTTTACCCTCCGGATTTCTTAGCTCCCAGATGATGCGTGCCGCTGTACATACTTTACTCGGTTATTTTCGTTAATATTTATCGACGTTTGTTGGCTCTTGGTTTGATGCCGCCAATCCACAAAACACCAACGCAACTGGTAAAAACTACACAATGCTGAGCTTTCGGGTGCTTTTTTCTTTTCCGCCGATTGTTTCCCTCTGCTGCTGCTGCTGCTGCTGCTGCTGCTGCTGCTGCTGCTGCTGCAACTCTTCCCTCGTGCCCTGTTTGCCCGTCTTTCTCTTCCTCTTATTTTGCGGCGCCATAATCATGACTTCCTCAGATCTGGATGTGCTACATTCCGGGCAGGTGAGCCTCTCTCTACAAGCCGTTGTTTGTCGTACACATGTAGACAAGACAAGCAGATTGATTTGTCTTACAGACGGATGTGGTATTGCCGATGGATAGGACAAGTACATGTATGGCATAAAGCATATAGAAAAAACATAGCGGCTGAGCCGCATAAACAAGAGAGAAGAAAACAGGGATAATATGAAAATATGTGGAAACACGGCAGCGGGTAGTATACAACACGTGAGACATAAAATAAGCCAAGACATCGCGTTGTCGCAGGTCGTCGTACGCTCAGTTTCGTCCCCTTGTGTTCAGCTACGCGAAATCTGCGGTGTTCTCTCACAACGCCAAGCACGGTATGCATCGTACGCAAGATATCACACCCCCCATGACCATGACCGACCTTCAAACCTTGACAAACGCTGCGCGGCCAAACCAAGCAGTGACGGAGTTAGAACCGTCTCCTCGAGAGCTTTCCCAAAACGTCTACATACAGCATGATTTGATCGTCTGCGGTACCATCCTCTTCGTCGTGGAGAGGTCGGGCCTTCAAACACCCGTCCAACCCCGTTCAGATTTTGCCCTCCAGAAATGGTAAACGTCCGTCCAACTGTTGCACACCGTCAACACGCCCCCCAAACCCCGCCTCAACCACACCCTAAATATGCCCAACATCCGCTCCATCCTCTCTACTAAGGGTGCAAAACTGGAAGATCGGGAAGCTGAAGGCGAAGGTGGGCGCGGAGAGGAAGAAGCTGGAGAAGGCGGAGGCGGACGAGGCCGCGGGGGGCGGCAGCGGGGGCGCCGGCGAGGCTAGCAGGAGCGTGCGGCGCAAGCTTTTGGAAGAGGCCGGGGACCGTGAGTGTTGGTGTTGGTGTTGTTGTTGTTGTTGTTGTTGATGGTATTATGTGTGTTTTTTTTCATCGCCGTCGTTGTTGTTGTTGTCACACTGCTGTGACAGAGAGTCTTCCCCAAGTGTTGTTGTATGCATACCAGTTGTTAATGTTGTGATTTTTGTGTGTGGGTGTTTTTTTTTTTTATCGTCGTCGTCGTCGTCAGTGCCACATGTCTTGTTGTTGTAACTTTTCTTTCTGTTGTTGTCGCTATTATTGTTGTTATCTTCATGCGGCGAGAAAAATCCGTCCAAAGTCTGCTCAGTCGGTACCCTCTAGCGTCCGAACAGCAGTACGACCGGTCCAAAGTGATGCGGAACCCTCTAGCGTCCGTACAGTACCACCGGTCCAAAGTGACAGTCGGTACCCTCTAGCGTCCGTACAGTACCACCGGTCCAAGGTGACAGTCGGTACCCTCTGGCGCCCGTACAGTACCACCGGTCCAAGGTGACGCGAAGACCTTCATCCCTTTCGTGGTCACAGCAGCCACTGAGGTGACTTTCACTAAAAATGCGGTGCAATAGTTGAGTGCAATAGTTGAGTGCAACAGTTGAGAGACTGTCGCCCCGCCCACCCGTGTGGTCTTTGCCTGCTCACGCGGGCGAAAGAAGAACCGTGTTTTTATTGGGTCGGCGGGTGCGTTCGACCGCGAACGAACGACGCAGCTTTTGCTCGTTGTTCGATGGATGGTGACGGTATCGGTTAACAGTTGCATGGCATCACCCTGTGCCACCGCCGTGAGACTCTCGTCGTCGTCGTCGTCTAAAGATCACCACAAGGGCGAAAAACGCCAGGGTTTAGCGTACCGTCATAGAAAATCAACGATGCATCGACTCGAATCCCTTCCCTTTTACACGCCGGCCACGCTGGGGCACAGGAAGTGCGCTGAAAAGGCGGGAAGTGATGGAGAGGACAGGGAAAACGTTTTTTGGGCCACCGTTGGGAAAGTAGAAAGGAACGGTTGGCCGTCGGTGATCGGTCCTGTCGCAACAATGCTCCGTCCTTTCGAGGACGCGCGGTCAATTGTCTAACAGCGAAGGCATGACAAACATGAGTACCACCGCCCCCGCCCCCGCTCGCGCGATTTTCTATTCCCAATGAAAAAGACTTGTGGGAGGAGGCCCTGCTCAAGGAGTACAACATGATCGACGTCTTCGACGACTACACCATGAGTCTCATCCAGTTCGGGTACGTGGCGCTCTTCTCGGCCGCGTTCCCCCTGGCCCCTCTGCTGGCCATGATCAACAACCTCGTGCAGACCAGGGTGGACGCCCACAAGATTTGCAAGACTCGGTGAGTTTTTTTTTTTTTTTTGCAGGCGTCCCCCCTGTTGGTTCGTTGGTTTACACGGCTATCTATGCAAGTCATGAGCGACAGACAGAGCGCAAGGTGTACCTCCAAGGAAGGGTCGGTGCGGACGCTCACGTTTATCTTTCTTGTTTTTTTTTTTCGACCAAAGGTCTCCTCTCCCTGAGGCCGGTCCCCCTTTCTGCTGTGCTTGCCTTCGATCATTTAAACGCGAGAGGTGTATGTATACCTTTTTTTTTTTTGTCTTCCCTTCAAATCAGCGCTCACAGCATTTGTGCCGTTTGCTCCACAACCCTTGCATACAGAAAATTAGGCCGCCAACAAACGTTTAGTTCCCGCGGCGGCCCCTTTGCTGTTGTTGTCGACGTTGTCACCTTTGTCAGGCGTCGGCCGATCGCACTAAAGAGCGGCGGCATCGGGGTGTGGGACAACGTGCTCGAGGTGATGTCGGTCATCGCGGTGATCACCAACTGTGCTCTTATCGGGGTGACATCGGAGAGGTGGTGGCCGGCCGACGTGTCTCGCGCGACACGGATCCTGGTGGTGGTTGTGGCGGAGCACATCATCCTCTTCCTTAAGGTTTGGTGGTGGTGTTGTTGTTGTTGTTGTTGTTGGTGGTGGTGGTGGTGGTGGTGGTGGTGGGTGTTATAGTTGTCGTTGTCGTCGTTGTCGTTGTTTTCGTCTTGGTCTTCTTGTCAAAAACCGCTCCGATCTCCGCTCAGCACCTCCCAACACCCGTCCACCCTACGCGCGGACACCTTTCAAACAGTACTGGCTGGAGTCGTCCGTGCCCAGGGTGCCCCTCAAGGTGCAGCGGGCCCTGCAGCGCGAGCGCGCGGAGCGCGACCAGAGGGGCGGCCTGGTCTTCGCCGGCAGCTCCGGGGTCGGGGGCGACTACGCCAAGTTCGAGGCTAACTTCAGCCGTGCGCTGACGACCGGAGACACGGCGGACGCCGTCTTCGCTAAGAGCGCCGGCGGCGGGGCCTTGTACAGCAGCAACAGGACCACCAACAACCTGCGAGGAGGAGGAGGAGGAGGAGGAGGAGGAGGAGGAGGAGGAGGAGGAGGAGGAGGAGGAGGAGGAGGAGGAGGAGGCGGGCTGATGGGTCTGGATGCCACGAGGGCGGTGGTAGTGAGCGAAGACCTTACCGCCACGACTCCGACCCCGGGAGGAGGCGGGGGTCGAGCGCGCAAGGGCTTCTCCGTCAACCTGGGGGGTTTCTCCTCGACGCCGGCGGCGGCCTCCCCGTCTCCGGCGACGGCGACCGGGGCTGACGGGCGCCGGGGGGCCAAGCCCGGGTTGACGGCGACCCAGAGAACCACGTCGAGGTCGATGATGATGTCGCCGCCGCCGCAGCAGCGGCGTGATGGCGGTGGTGGTGGCGGCAGCGGCGGCGGCGGCGGCGGTGGCGGTAAGTTTTCTTCTACGTCTTCGGTGCCACTTCCGCCTCCGAGTGCAGCCACCGTGGGGGGAGGAGCCTCCTGCTGCAACTACGGCGGTGGCGGCGGCGACGATTCGGAGGTGGCCCCGTCGTCGTCGTCTTCTCCTCCGCCGCCGGTACCACCGAGACGTTTCGAATGGCACGGTCAAGAGCAGGCGGCAGTTTAGCTATATCATTAGCGCTTTGGAGAGGGAGTGTTGTTTCGCTTTGTTGAGGCTGTCGTTCCGCGAAGGGGGGGGGGGGATTGAATTTCTTGACCCTCCTGGTCTCGTTTTCATTAGAGCGTAGCTCGCGAGTAGTGCCGAGAGCAAGAGACGTCTATCGGGAGCATGGGCAACAGCAGCGACGGTGGCGGCGGTTTCTCGCAGCAGGTGTTCCCCCTCTGTCTTCATTCCTTTACGAAGGAGTTTTTCTCGTCAGCCGTATTTGTTGCTGGGTGCGAGTGGCACTAAACGCCTCATGGCGTCGTCGTCGTCGTCGTTGTTGTTGTTGTTATCGATGTACAATCGGGAATGGGAAAATTTTTGGGTGTCAAGAAGTTGCCGTTCATTCGAGATGTGGTGTGAGTTTTTTTGGCAGAAAGAGCACGGACGGGGCCAGGGTTGGTTGTGGGCAGGCGCACCGGCGAAGAAGAGCTAGGATGGTGGGATTTTTCATCCTGGCCAGTGGTTGGGGGGCGCCGCCGGATGCTATTATTGCTGCTGGTACATACACACACGTATGTTGCTGAGCCTGCTGCACACTTTGCGTGCGAGCTTGAGCAGGCACCCTTCTTGGACCGGCCGACCCCGTTGTGCTTGTTGTACAGCAGTAGTTATATAGTTCGATGGTGTCGTTGCGTTTTTTTTGCTTCTTGCGTGGCATGACTCCCGAACAATTGTACTGTCACGGTCGCCCACCACAGATTCTCACCGTTGTTGTTAGTGTTGCTGTTACTGTTTTTAGTACTAGTGTTAGTGGTATTTTGTTGTCGTCGTTGTTCTTAATATCCCGTGTCCGTCGCCTCTAAGGCATGACCGCCCTTGACATTTATTGGTCGTTGTTTGAAAATTGTGACTTCTTCATTACCCATATCCTGCTCGGCTATTGTAGTAACAGATAATTCTTGAACTTTTCGTATTTGGACCCTTTTTCTTCGAAGCACATCAGCATGTAGTCGTACAAAAAGCAGCAGGCGTCCACGGTGAGAGACCGGCGGAGGAGTGTTTTACAATTATTGTTCATTTTTATCGCCTGTCTCTACGCTTGCTGTTGTAGTGCTCGGCATGATGCAGCAGAGAAAGCGAGTGGTAGTGTGGGAGAACGTTGTCAATTCTGGAGCCGTTTTTTTTTCGCCGCACCTTCCTGCGTTTGGGTGTCGTCGTCGTCGACGCCATCTGCGTCGGTCATCATGTTGGAAATTACTGTTCCTCCTTCTTCTCTGTCTCTCGTACATCCAGCCAGGTACATCCGATGTGTGGGGTGGTAAAGTAGGTATCGCCGGTGTCGTCTCCCTCTGGAATATCGTGGAAGAGAAACTATTGCTATCTACGCAGCCCGTACAGCAGCAGGGGTGGCAGAGTAGTACAGTTGTAGGCGACTCACTGTTCGTTCTGCTCTCTGCTCCGCTGCCCCTGTGTTAGGGGCATTGTGCTCTTCTTCTTGTCTTCGTCCAACGAAAAATGCCGATCGATCATATCATGCGGACCAAGCGGAAAACTGTGGGCTCTCTTCCACCTCCTGTAAGACCCGGTCGCGCCGGTGGCCTGAGTATCCATCTTGTGGGTAACCTCTGCCCGGCTATTTGTAGCAGGTGGTTGGTTCGAATGTCTCTCGGCGGTGAATAAATTGCGATAATTTCCGCGGTGGAAAGTAGATTGCCTGCCCTGCTGAAGCAGGGCTGCCTCCAACCCCTCTCATTTTTCTCGTTGTCGCCGCGGTTGGTTGTAGTTTGCTTGTTGCCGTAGTATTTGTATGTATGTGTGCATGTATGCATGCATGATGACCTTTTGACGACGAGACAAGACGACGACGACGGACGGCTTACTATCACGAACGGATGTTGTAGAAAGAAACAATACCGCAGTATTACTTCAATAATTAATACCCTAAGGATGCGATGAGAGAACGCACGGACGGTTCGTTCGGTGATATCGCACGCACACTCGTGCCGTTCGGTGATATCGCAAGCACACTCGTGCCGATAATGATATCTCCCCCCCCCACCGTGCGATAAAAAGCAAAACGAAACGACTCATTACGATTGATTGTTCTCGCGCGATATCACCGTACATGCATACGGGGCACTCACTTCGCCGGAGGTATGTACGTCGCGGTATGATCGTGAAATAAGGTGATGTATATAGCATCGCCTGCCACATTTTGAAACATTGTGTTTTGTGCATGCAGTATACGGCCGTGGCATGCTGTTGGGTATCGCACACACTCGCATCCATCGGAGGTATCGCGCGGGGGTGTGCGATGAAAGCACCCAGCTAACTACAATTATACTATGTTGTTTAGTCAGTATCGCGTGCGTATCGGAGTTTTCGCCCGGGGGGTGTTCGCACGGGGGGTGTGCGTCTGAACAATTTGCGACAAATTCCGTGAGGAGGGGACGTCCTTACTTCTGAAAAGAACCCTTTTTCTCGCGTTACAGGTCCAAGGAAAGCTATGCAGGGGGAAGATGAGACAACAAACACGAATAATATATTTCTTTGTTTCTCCTGTGGGACCCCGGCTGACACATACGAATACGTCAAACACATTCCGAAACGTCAACACTTGTGCCCAATAGATGTGGACGAGTTTACACACACACCCAACGTCTTTCTCACCTACTAAAGAACTTTCTCTCCTGTTAAGCGTTATTAGCCAAGCGCATCTACGTTCTACTAAATAAATGATCTGCTACCACATTCTACCTCGATCAATCGGGCGGGGACAGCCGCTGCTGTAACGCGCCGCCTGCCATGTGTCGCGCCTCTTGTGCTATATCGCATTACTAGAAAAGAACGAACCCGGCAAAAAAGTGACAAAGGTAAAACGCCACCCTTGCGAACGCACACACACCCAACAACAACCAACAACACCAGATATAGGAGCAAACACAACTTTAGATCTATTTAGGTGTTTTTTTTTATCCCGCAACAAGCCCAACGTCTTTTCATTGGTCAGTCGGTTAGCGCGGTCGATGCTATCCAAGAAAACACAACAATATCTATTTATCTGATCTGCAACGGTCTCCACGCGCGACCCGGTGATGAGTAGTCGCAAACGTCACCTAACAAGTCAAGTCGTCCGTGCTCGCTACCTACCAGACATTTTCCGGTGACATCATCATTTCTTCTTCAGCCGTGCCGTCTGTAGGTCGGGGGTAGCGAGGAGGACGCAGTCACAACTCCTATTAAATCCGCGGTCACGAAGACAGTAGGGAGTGCAGGGAACGCCCCCCCCCCCCCCCCCCCCCAATCCCCTTTTTCCCCCTTTTTCCTTCCTCCCCCCCCCCCCTCCCC